TTGCGCAATTGTCGCTGAAGTTTGTGTTGCAGCTGATGCATTCTGCGCTGAATCGTACTGTATTGGTGTTCAAGGCAAAGGACATGTCTAGCACACGTTCACGTCAGCAACAAAATACCGCGGAAGAAAACAACAGGGGCAACCCAACTTGGGGCCTTGCAAAGCCGTCCGCGTCCTCCCCAATACGGCTGGCTCCAGCGCTGATTGCCAGCACGTGTTCCTGCTCAGGGCCACCAGTCTGGTAGCTGTGCTCGTTGAAGACGCCTGAAGCGACAAAGCTGGTCTGGCTGGCTGTCCATGCGGTTCGAACCCAAGTCTCTGTCTATCGAACAAGAGACAAGGCATGCTGTGCTGTAAGCTCAACGGGCAGACTTGTTGTTGGAATATAGCATACTGCTCTAATGTTGTATGATCTGAGCCACATCTGAGCACCTGGTTGCCAGTTTGTAGAAGGCAGTCTCGTGTCTTGATTGTTGTTTACTTTATCTTCATCGACATAGCTTCCTCCCCAAGGATCGAGAGAATCAAGGCGGCTCAGATTAAAAAACCCAGGCAACATGGTATTCACATCAGCATTCATGGAGTGAGTGACGCAGATCCAATGTGCAACAAAGCAAGTTCTCATTGTTTGGCAATGCCTCTCTCTGCAAAAAGCATCCAATGTGCAACAAAGCACTTGCAAAGCCTAACAGGTCTTCAGTTCCACCCCTTCAACTTCAACCCTCGAATTAGTACACCCATCATGTAGTTAATTATAGCAAGCTCAGTCGCTCAACCGGCCACTGGCACAGTGATGCAATGCACCCAATACGAGGCCTTGATTGAAACAAAAGAACAAAACGAAACAAGACACGGAACAAAACAACAAAGTCGAGCATCCCAGTTGCAACATTCACTAAATCAATGCTTCCATTGTTCTCGGGCATGCGGTAGCAGAACTCATCTGTGGAACATTGTGCCCTGCTACTGGCACTGTGCGCATATTGCCAATCCCAAGGGTGCCATCCCTGATACAGTCCCTGAGTCCCTCAAAAGGACTTTATTCGTACTCATCACAAACAGCTGCGATATACATGACAATCACTCTTACTCCCTCTCTCTGCCAGCAAAACTTGAACAACTTATCAGCCGCGCAAAACCATAATCCCACCCTGTAAAGGGGGGGAACGTCTGGAAACCTAAATTACATTTTTTGGTTTTCCCACCTACATGTTGCCTCCAAACCTAGCAAATGTGAGATGACATTTTGGACGCTGGTGGAGCCATTAGTAAGGTACCTGACACATACCCAAGTTACGATTTCATGAACACGTAGTATATTTACAGTTTTCAAACCAGCCATCACCAACCAGCCACCAACCAGCCACCAACCAGCCACCAACCAGCCACCAACCAGCCACCAACCAGCCAACCAGCGAGCCAGCCAGCCGTCGACTCTTAAAAAACCACTGCCTTGGTAGGTCAAGGTATCCACCTCCGGCAGCAACGAGCACCGCATGGCCGCGTGGAAGGCGTTGGCGTCCATGGCCCCCGAGGCTCCACAGCCCATGGCCGAAAAAACCGAAGCGATCGGCCCGAGGTTCAGTAGCCAAAAGGACGCAGCCGTTGTGTTTGCTTTTCTGTTTCTTTGCTGTTTGCTGGATTGTGCTTTTCTTGTTGTGCGTTTTTGTTTGCTGTGGATTGCTTGTTTGCCGTGTTTTTGGCTTTCTACTAACTTAAAAAATGCTTGTTCTCGGGCATGCGGTAGCAGAACTCATGTGTGGAACATTGTGCCCTGCTGCTGGCACTGTGCGCATATTGCCAATCTCAAGGGTGCCATCCCTGATACAGTCCCTGAGTCCCTCAAAAGGACTTTATTCATACAAACAGCTGCAATATACATGAGAATCACTCTTACTCCCTCTCTCTGCCAGCAAAACTTGAACAACGTCTCCGCCGCGCAAAACAAAATGGGTGTGAACTTTACTTGGTTCCCCCCAGCCAGCCAGCAACCACCAGCTAGCCAACCAGCCCGCCAGCTAGCCAACCAACCAACCAACCAGCCAGCCAGCCAACCAACCAGCCACCAACCGACTCATAAAATTCACTGCCTTGGTAGGTCAAGGTATCCACCTCCGGCAGCACCAAGCACCGCATGGCCGCGTGGAAAGCATTGGCGTCCATGGCCCCCGCAGCTGCACAGCCCATGGCCGCCAGGGCCGAAGCTTCTTTTTTGGCCGGAGGTTCGGTAGTAGCCAGGAGGACGCAGCCGTTGTGTTCGCTTTTCTGTTTCTTTGCTGTTTGTTGGGTTGGTTGTATTTGTTTCTCCGTGGTGTTTGTTTTTGAGGTACAAAAGGCCACAAAAGGTCGGAATTGGTTCCTTCAGATTGAGGATGTTCGCGTTCTCAAGTTCCTGTCTTGCACATTACACCAAAAGAAGCGGATCAGCCTGCAGGCATTCAGGAAGCAGAATCAGTATGTCAAATCCATTCGTGCTGGGTTGCTAAGGCTGATCGCAGTCCGGCGTTGGCCTGCTTGAGAAGCCCCTGGCTGGATGATCACTGAAGCCGAAAGCAGTGAAGCAGCTGGAGCCCAGAGAGATGAGCTCTGCTGGTTGTGTCACAAGCGACAAACACACTGCGCTTCAGGATGTGAACAGAACAGGACTTCAGCTTGGGACAAATTCAATTGCAGTGGCACTGGAGCTGTATCATGATCCAAGACGTGATCTGGACAAGCCCCCGGAGAAGATTCGGGAATGGCGAATCCGGAATTCGGAATCCAGGGCCCTAAATCCACCCTAAACCAACCCTAAACCAACCCTAAACCCACTCAAAGCCAACGCCAAACAAGCCCAAAACCAACTCTCGATAAACCCTACACCAGCGCCAAACCATCCCTAAACCCATCCAAAACCAGCCCTAAGCCCATCCCAAAACCAACCCTACACTCGCCCTTAAATCCACCACTAACCTCACCCTAAAGCCACCCTTAACCAACCCTGAACACCTCGAAACCCAACCCCGAACCCACCCCAACTCTAAACTAACCCTAAACCCACACTAAACCAACCCAATGCCAACTCCAAACTAACCCCAATGCAACCCTAAACCAATCCTAAGCCAACCCTAAACCCACTCTAACAACCCTAAACCAACCCTGAATCAACCCTACACTCTGAACCTACCTCAACCATAACTAAACTCTAAACCAACCCTAAATCCAACAAATTGGGATTAGCCAGCCCGAATCCCGAATCCTGATGGGATTCGTGTGAAACTGATTTGCAAATCCCGACACTGGGGTGGGGTCTTCATTGCTTTGGGATTCGCGAATCCCGAATCATGCGGGATCCCCGGTTCGCCACTCCATGATTCAATATGCTGCCTCCCTGCACCTTCTTACTTTGCGTTGGGCGTGCTTTCAGGCACATCACAAGCTCAGACCTCACGACGTGTTGAACATCGCTCAAACAGTGCTCAGTGAGCCCATAGCAAACATTTTAATCACTTGCCCGGAATGCGCACTCCTTGAAACGCGCATGCACGTGGACAAGGGCTGCTAGCATATGCTACTCCTTCTAACTTATAGGGGCATGCATGCACGTGGACGGGGGATCTACTGGAGTGCTGCGCGCGTGCTATTTGAACGTGCAGGGCAAGGAACGCAAAACAAGTACGGCTGAAGGCCTGCCAAACAAAAAAAGACCTCCCGGAAAAAACCAACCACTTGGTACTGAAACCAACAGGCCTGAAGCTGAGAATCCAGTGGCCCGCATGTTCCCAGCCTTGTCAGCAAGCGCTGCGGAGCTTGCTTTGAGGCTCCGGGTCATGAAGGCTTCAACCTGGCAACAGAAATCGAAAAGTTAAAGCAGTAACTTAAGCTACAGCAGGCCACCCGCAAGTGCAACAACAACAGCAGCAACAGCTGTAGCAGTAGCAGCAGCGGCAGTTGCAAAACAAGAACACCAGCAACAACAAGAACAGGAACAAGAACAAGAACAAGCACAAGAAGAAGAACAACGCAAGGCAAAGCAAGGCAGCGCCTTGCGTTGACGCGTTGCAAAACAATTAATTATGTTGTTCACCGGCTACACCCTGCAACCGACACCCTACACCCAACACTCCACACAGCAACATGCACACAAGGTCAATCGAGACCAAGGCCGGTGGAGCTACTCTAACGGCAGCTCTGAGAAACACAAGCAACTGACGAGGAGGTGCAACTCCAGGAAGGGATTTTAGAATATGTATATTATATATATATGCATATATATATATGTATATATGGAAATGTATATATATATATATATCATGTAAATTTATTTATCAAATCAATATCGCAAACAATATGGACTATGAATCTTTGTGTTTGACACCTCTCCACGCTAAACAAATCTAGGTCTATCTTTGATTCATGCGGCGCCTCCGAGCGCAGCTGCTCATTCTCGTGGCCTTCGGCTGGACAGCTCGGGGTACGGCTTACGGGCGAACCCATGGGATACCAATGGTGCCAATCCTTTGGCGCTGGTCCAGCAAATGTGTTTAGTTTATGCCTGGTGAAAAGGAACTATGTGGGGAATCCAAAAAGTGAAAGTCTAAATGATCCAGCCCAATAGTAGAGCAATGGTCAACCAATGGCTAATTGGATTTTTTTCTGGGTATGGTGCCACATGGATAGATACCAGTGGTTCAATATTTCGCCATGCCGAAGTGGGGGTTGAGTTTTTTCATTTTTTCGACCGCACCCTCTGCTTGTTTTGGCTAAAGAGAGTCACCTCGCTTTCGAAAGGCGTCACAACCACCTGGAGATGAGAAGTCAGACCCCTGTGCACCGAGAAAACTCGCTTTGCACGAAGGCTCTCTTCTTTCTGCGTGACCCCCGAAGCACCGGAATTTGGATCTCTCCTCTGACGACCTGAGCCTGGGGCGAACCTCATTGAGCTCGGCGTCCTTCGCAACGGGTCACACGGCACATCTCCGGATGCATGGAATACCAACGCTCCGTGAAGGACAGGTGGTTCTTGGCCATGGAACTACTTCCTACCTGTCGCCGCAGGAAGCTGGAAACACTCCGTGTGAGGGAAAACCAAGGGGGGGAGATTGCGATGCATGTCTTTCGACTGACTCGCTGAAACGAAGGAGAGAACCCGCCAAAGTAAAGTTCAAATGTTGCCAACTCCACAGAAACATCAAAGCCAACCAGACCAAAGCACGAATCCAAACCCGGGGGAAGATTCGTGTAGGATTTCTTCATGTGCCTTAAAGCTTCTCTTGTGGATCATGTTGCCCTGAAGTTGGAACCTTTGTTCTTTGTCTAAAACCCCGAGAGGTCGATGACCATCCTAGCATCGGTAAAAACGGTCTTTGGATCCAAAGTTGTTCTCTCCAAAGCGAGGGGGCTTGTGAACTCAAGAGCGTCTGGTGTGCGGGAAAACTGAACCAAGGGAGGTAAAGAGGCAGACAGGACCAAAAAAGAGAAGACCTACAAAACAAGAAACAACTGATGCTCAGAGTACCAGAAACATTGTAGCTCAGACGAGACGGATTCCAAGCTTGTCAATGTTGGGACCAACTGCATCAGGGTTAAACTGGCCTGTTTATTGTATACAAAGGCTTTGCCTGATGGCAAAATCTCTGTGGGTAACCATGTACCAAGAAGAAAGAAGAGGTGTCAGTGATTCAGTGATTCCAGTTACCACTATAATATACTACGCTTAGAGAGAAACAAGGGACATTAATTTTCACTAAGCAGAATATCCCAGCGGCTGATTCAGGCAACAATGTGAACACATGTAACACTCCAGTTTCCCAAGTGGTATCTGGATGCGCTTCATGCAGTCCCAAAGCTCACCACTCTCCCTCAAAACGGGCGCCAGCTGCGGTTTTTTGCCATCGAAGATCCAGAAAATCGAAGCTCCGCTAGACGTCCCGAAGCAGCTGCACACCACTTCCACGAAACCAGGGCCGAAGTGACCACGCTGCAGGTAACTTGGTGATGCTCAGCCGGGAATGAGGGAATGACCCTCATAAACCATCCCTTGTGGTTTTCTTTAAGGGGACCCCTGGGTTCGTTCCCACATTCCGTACCCAGCACCAGGAGTGCATACGCAAACAGCACATCTCAGGGGAAAATGCTTGAGAAGCCTCTCCTTGGCAACACGTTCAGTTAACAACCTTTGCTCAGCTTGTTCCTGGTGATTTTGCGGTGCATGCTTGCGGCCTGCCCTCTCAAACATTCTCAAACAGGCTATCGTGGATCACAACTGCTTCTGCGCGTTCAGAGGCCTTGTATTGGTAGGGGCTTGCCAAAATATTGATTTCGCGAGTTGATGGAGACCTCAAGTGCGAGACGTTTCGACCATTGCAAACATGACTCAAGAATAGAACAAGCAGGCCGTGCAGCTTCATTGATGTCTGCAGAAGTGGCGACCTCACCTGGTGCTCCTCGCTTCCCCGCGGCAGGTTTGCTCAAATGCCCAGCTTTCGCCCAGCCCAGCAAAAGATTGGCATTGCTTCAGTCGCTCCAAGCAAAGGCATCTGTAGACGGGATCCAAGCTCACAAGGAAAAACCATCACTGGTAGACTGCAAGGTTTAGCTGTTGCCGGCTGACCATGGGTCGGGCATGTGTTAGCAGTTGGCGGTAGAAGGCAACTGAAAACACTGAGAACGCATGTCACACACACACACACTGAACTGGTTCTTCGCTGCTAAGGGTCAATGTGATTGCTAAAACGGAACTTGCCATTTCAAACACAAACACAATGGAATTGCTCGCCGCCTTCTCCCCTCACAGTCAAGCAAGCAAGCCTTCAGCTTGAAATGCTATGGAAGAAAATAGGATCATGCTGTTCACCTGGGCTCTGTGGTCCCAGCAAATGGACAGAACACGCACGCACACTTGTGATTGTATGTATAGTCAGTACTACCCGTGCTGCGCATCAACAGTGCAAGAAACGCTCATGACAACCACCGCAAGAAAAACAACAAAAAATGTCTACAAACAACAATGACCAAATAGCATTGGTCCACGTCCACGCAAGTAGATCCCGAAAGTCGACAAGGACCCTACCGAGAATACTGGACAAACCAAACCTTTGGAGCTTTTGCCAGCCAGGCACGAGGCATGAGGAGCCTACTCACTAGGGAGGACCATTAGCACGGGCTGCGCCCTATCAGCTCTCTTTGCATTGGTGCAGCCAAGAAACTCCACTTTCAATAGAGGTTCTGCCCGGTTTTGGGCAAATAGCTGACCAGAGTCTGCTTACCTGTGGGATTTACGTGATGCCACCCGGTTGTAGAGGAAGATCCATTTTGAGCCCCCCTTTTGGGGTTCCATGCTCGTTGTTGGGGTTTCCGCTTGAAGGCCGCGCCCGCATCCAGCTTGCGCTGTCAGCAACCCAACGACCAATACGTGGACACTTCTGAAAGGAAGACTGTTCGTAACAGAGCAAACATTGATGACTTCCGTCTTGTCCACCGGCATCAAGCAATATCGTCAATATTGGTGTTGTATCACGATCTGGTGTAGTCCCTCCCAGCATTGCAAGTCAAATGCGAACCAAATACTACAGGTAGTACGTGAACATACATGTGTCAGCTCGATTGACCAAACAGGGATGGTCTGTTCTACAACAACTAAGCGTTTAGCGTTCCATCTGCTAGAGCAACAACTGCTGTCATTGCAAAAGTCAACGGAAAGTAACCCTTGGCATACCCGTCTCCCACGTGCATTGAGAAAACAACTTTGGGACAGAGTTCAGCTTGACCCAAGTGTACCGCATGCGTGATGGGCAAACCACATGAGGGGGTCTAGGCAAGCATTATCAATTACTCTTCCGATCCAGCTGAGAAGGACACCTGTCAATTTGAGAGACTGACGCTTCCTCATGTAACACACAACCTATGACAACATTGCGCATTCTGCGAAACCACGGCTGAGCCACACTTGAAACCCAACATTGAAGGCAGGGGAGATGTTGTGTTGAATGTGACCAAGAGCTGAACAACATGCTGATCTTGGCTTCATGGCTCAGCTGCTGAGCTGAGAAGGCATAGCCCATGTCGCCGGAGCCAAGATTGGAGAAAGCAGCCCAACGTGATGCGTATCTGCTAGGTACGCATACGCATTGATAACATGTCTGAAACGGGTAGCGACCCCAATTTTGGTCCGGCTCCCACTACACTCTGGCTCAGTCAGGCAACTTGAAGCCAGTGATGCTGTCCTTGGCAAGGCTTGCACAGCGGAATCGTAGGACTGCTGCATTACCTGTGGTAACAGGTTATCACAGTGACAGCTGCAAAAGATACAACGATGAGTGAAAAGCAGCGGGCAACAGCCGCCGCCGCCGCCACCACCGCCACCGCCACCACCACCACCACCAACATCCCACCACCACCACCCCACGTGGGCAAACCATCCCACCACCCCACCACCACCACCCCACGTGGGCAAACCTGGAGGTAAAAATCAAGCTTGGTGAGTTGAATCTCCAATTGACTGAGCTCCAGTTGTCCAGTGACAGAGGTAGAGAAAGAAAACCCTCTCTGGGGTTAACCATGTTTAGTGAGGAACCCACTAACAACAAGTGAAAAAAGGTGCCACTGGAAGCGCTTCCGCCTGCTAGCTCTTCCGCCCGAGTCGTGCCAAGCATCAATGGAGGCGCGATCCGCTTGCAGGCCAGCCTGAGTGCAGGAGCTATGCAGATCCTCCACGATGCGGATGAGCGCCTGCGCAACGACTGCGAATGGAGCATAGAGAAGCATAAGGCGTACCACGCCAAGCATGAAGTCAGCACACGTTTGCACCTCCAAGAAACAAAATACGGTTTTGCGTTTCAGTTCCATCTTCTGAAAACAACCATTTTTGGTTTTTCGCATCTAGCCTGCAGATATGCATCTTCAAAGGCGAAGGGACCCCTAAACGCGTGGACGGGCGTATAGCATTTCCTCTTTGAGCTGTAGGACGGCTGTCCTTTGTCCTTTGCCTTCTGAAGTCGTTTGTCAACCTTGCAACTCGCTCAAACAGAATGAACTCGACCCAAGATTCCAGGGAATATGGAAAGGGAAACATGATGAACTCCAGGCTTGAGTTTAGGTTCCAAACCTTCCGCGACAGGGAGGCTCTTCACAGGGTCAGCTTTGAACATACGGGACACGGTTGTGGCCGTGTGTGAATCATTCCCCAACCTGACACAAGGGTGTCTCAAGAAAGCCCTTAAAGCAACCTTCATGTTTGGGGTCGCAGAACCCTTCGTCGGGTTGCCCGGGGAGCCCACCGTACCATGCAGCCTCCCCGCGCCCGATGCCCTCAACCCTCCCTTCGGATGCCTCTTTCTGCTCGGTCAGCTGAGCCTTCTCATCTTCTATCTCCTGTCGAATCCGAGAAGCCGCGCTTGCCCTGGCCAAGGTGGCATCTGTCTATCCAGCTGCGTGCTGTCCTCTTGTACGGGGGTTGACCTCGATTTTCAAGTGGTGGTTTCCATCGGTTGCCTCCTGCAGTAGTGAGCAATTGCAGCTGATTCAGACTACGAGTACAAACAGCCCTTGGCTGGATTCAACAGGAATAAGTGGACTCGGGAAAGGTTGCAGGCTCTTGGAGGATCCAAATGGAACCTTGTGGCACATGGTCTATTGTCAAATCGCCTTGTGGCCAATGCCGATGTCCTTTGTTGCTACTCAAACATCGCACCACTTGACGAACTAGTAAAACCATTGTTCGCATGCTGCACCAGTCGCAGAATACCAAAAAAGCAATCACACAAGTTGCAGATCATCGCAGTATGCGTCATTTGCGGTGCCACCTCTTAAAGCCTGACCACCACCACACCTTTGACAAGAGAGCGCAGTGATATGCTTCATCAGGCAACACAACTGATCAAACATATGGTTGACAAACAAATTCGTGCACCACCTCTCCCAACTCCGTGCCACAACTAAACAAACCTCACACCCCACTCCCCCTTTTCAATGTTGTTGGCATTCACACAAAGTGGTGCAGGATTTCGGCCAGTCCAGCATGATTGAAACAAGCGCCCAAAACTTCCAATGTTAAATCGGGAGCACGAGGGATTTGGCAAACATTTGCAAACCATAGTGAAAGCGGTGTGGCATTTCGTCCGTCAACAGTATCTTCCTGGGTTCGTCTTGACGAGTCGATTGGAACCAAGAGGGAAAAGGATAAAGCCAAGTACCACTCAACAACTGGGCTCATTCCTATGACGAACCAACTGGAACCAAAAGGGAGAAGGATAAAGCCGAGTGCGTTTCAACAGCTGTGCTGATTCCTATGCGTTGCATTCCGAAGAAAGAAACGGTGGCGAAGATAACCGCTGCATGCTATGGTACTGTACATGTCTGGAATGTCAAAAGGTTATCTATTCCACTTCTTGCTCCTCAAAAGGCCGTGAGCGAATTGTCATAATTCCTTATGGTCATCGGGAAAAAGGGGCACCCTTTGCTCTGCATGTTGTTTTACAACTGGAACTCACTTGGAAAAAACAACAAACACAAGGCACAAACAACAGGGATAAGGGTGAAATCCCGCTGGACAATCACGCAAAACCCTCCCCAGTGTCTTACTTACAATAGGAACCCCTTCCTTCAGGAACTCACCTGCTCCCCAACCAGAAGCCGCACATGTGGCCAAAAGGTCAAAAGGTCAAAAGGTCCAGTGGCGACAACGAGATGATTGTCTTCCTTGGTTTTTTGGTTTTGAAGTGAGTCCAAACAAAAGAGAAAGCCCGATGGGTGAACAGAGCAGTCGACTCCGCTCCTGCAGCACAGCCGTCAGCTTTTGGTTCCCCACCTTGCGCGGGAATGGTTCGGCCACTTGAATCAAGTTTCAATATCCATTGTTTCAAACCTCTTGCAAGAACCCAAAGAGGGATACTTTCCGCCCAAAGTTTGGAACCTTGGTTATGATAAGCAAATTGTTGGAAACCAAAAACGTCCATTTGCGAGTGGCCAAAAATTTGGAGAATGGCCGAAACAATCCAATGGCTATTCAAGCCGGGAAAACGTCCATTCGCTTTGGGCGAAGCTGCGCTTCCCCGCCTTGCGCTCCTCCAGTGCTTTGGCCGCTTCCTCCCGCTCCCGCCGCAGCGCGCGGATCCGCACGTTCGCCGCCTCAAGAGCTCGGAGAAAAGGACAACGAGGACTCAGGGGAGATGTGGCGGCAAAGGGCAACAAACAATGTCCGTACTCTTAGTTGCTGTTGACCCCTCCGCAAAAGGCTTAACTTTTTGTGGGTTTAGTGGAAAACCCCTTGATTTCCCAAAAAGTTAAAGTCTAAAGATCCAACCCAATAGCAGTCAAGTAATGTAGATGAAGACATGTTGCCTCAGCTGTTGGTTACCTGGGATGCAGCTACAATTGGGGGTCAGTGCTGTACTTTGAGTGGAAGGAGGGTTAACAACTCAAACAACGCATGTGATGTGGTAACTTTCTGTGGGCACAGTGAACTACACAGCCATGCCACTCACCGACTTGTTTTGAGCAGGAACTCACACCACCCGTTCCCAACGGTTCCATGTTGGACTATTTTGTAGTTCTTGCCAAGCAAAAACAAAAATCCGCCGACGCCAGTCGAGCGTGTAGATGGCAGTCCGCAACTTGGTCTTCCTTCAAAATATCTTCTCAAAGCCGACGGCTTTTGGGGCTGCCATTTTTTGGGCCTGGCGAACCCTGTATTTGTCCGGTGTTTTTGGGGCTTGAATGGTGTTTTGCTGTTCCAAGCGATCCCTTTTAGAGGGTCTAGTGATACGTCCAGGAACTGTTTGAATTTGCTAATATTAGTGGTTTTTGCAATTCCCCACCTGTACAAAGCAGTTACTGCGAAACATCCCCTGCATTATCGTGCTTTTGGAAGTCTATTTTTGGGGTATTTGAGGGGGGTTCCAAGTATCTGCTTTTGATGTTTGATTTTGGGGAATACCGGCCGGCTGCATTCCCAGCATTCCCGACATCTCTTGTATTTTCTGCGCTTGGTCCATTTTGCGTGTCTGAAAGTCTTGAAATTTTGGATGCGAAGATTGGGTCTGTTCCTGTACGTTGCGTGGTTGCATCCCTTGCGTGTCCAGCATCCCCAGCATCACTTCCATGAAAAAATGAAAAAGGCCTTAAAATCCCTTGCACCCCACTGGCGTCGGCGGATCGCGTAGCGATTTCAATAACCCCCACTGAATGTTGACATATCCCCAGAACCCCTCCCCCCGATTCTCGCAGTTGAAGGGCCTCGATCTTGTTGTTGGCCTCCTCTCCAAGCTTTGACAGCTCTACCTGGCGGCAGTGCCACCGAAAGACTAGCGCAAGAGCTTAGGCGACAGTGACACCCTTGAAATTCATCTGGGGCTGCCTGGCCCAAAGAGACTAGAGCTTTTGGGCCACCCTTTGCAGAATTTCCTGAGGCTCCCGCAAACCATTCACAGTGGATGATGGTGCATTCCAACCATAACTCATTTCTAGAGGTCCCTAAAGCGGGATTCTTACGGGGGGGGGGGTTCTTCCCAACATGCCAACATGCCATCAGCCTGAACGGACACAAAGTGATACCCATTTATGGATTTCCGCAGTGGTTCTGCAAACAGGGCTGACTAGTATGATTGGGGTGGACAACTAAGCACAACATTCATTGGTCCATCAGTGACAACCAATCGCCAGACAGGTTCGGGGCCCTTCCAGCTAGAAAGTGGGCGTAGTTGCTGAATCGTGCATTTGTTGTCAACGCCACCTCGAAGAGGGAGTTCCTAATTTCAGTACTACCTAACTTGAGAATTTGGCTCGTGCAGCATTGACTCCCACCAAACTTTTGGGCCAACCTGGAGAAGCAAAAAATATGCTGCAAGAAGACGCTGGAGAAACATCGCATCCTTTCTTCATCACGCAATACTGGCAAAACACGCATATGTAGGGATTCGAAGCCCATTAAAAGCCAAACATGGATGTTTTTTAAATGAGACACCTGCCCAAACATCAGATCGCACCACAGGGTTCGAACCACAGTGCATTGCAAAGAGCAACTTTGGGAAGCGGAATTTTGTGATCTGCCCACCCATTTCTAATTTCCTCTGGCAAATTACACGATGAAGCCTGAAGGCATTGCGAATTATGGGCATTGGATTTGTGCCCATCGGTGCCCAAATTGTGTGGCAGGTTTTATTCGGCGGGATGCATCAAGCTGATTGGTCAGATCAGGTCTGCTTGTGATTTCAACCTCAGACTGTTGGAAATGGCTGCTAACTTGACCTGGCCCCTGCCAAGGAGCAACCAGAACTGCAACGCTGCAAGTCCTAAATCCAGCAACCAAGCTCCCATGAAACCTCTGCGCAAACCCATCCATGCCATAGGCATATCTTTAGCCCTTGCAGCGGCCTCGGGTACAAAACTCGCTAGACCTAGAGACTGCCTTGGATGGCAAACTGGACCCCTCAGATTGCCTCTCTACTAGTAAGGTGCAATGGTGGCTCCTGGCTTTGCCTCCGCGCACCTACATGCTTGCTTCCAGCAGGGCAGGGTCGTCTGACGCCCTGTGGGGTAAAAAAGGTTAGATACACCGCCAAAACCAATCAACTCTCCCAATTTTGGCAAGGACATCCATTCATCCACATTCCGAAGTCTTGCCAACACCTCGAGCCAAGTTCGGGTCGTTCGGGGGGATAACCGAACGATTTCTCCAAGGAATCGGTCTATGATGAGTTTCCTCTTGACGTGTCTCCATGACCCTTTAAAATGGGCTCACTACCCAAAAGTAAGGGGTTGCCCCTTTTTCTAGGGGTCGTGGAGTCGTGGAGACCCTAGGTCCCTTCAAATCCCGACCAAAAAAGTGGAAGGTTCCATGGGGGGAACTTCCAGCGACCCAAGCGAGCGGAGAGCCTCATAGGAGTGCAGCTCGCTCTGCAAGGTGGCCGCCAGGTTCTTCTGGTCGGCCAGGTCCTGGGTGTCTAGGGGGGCGCGGGGAGGGGGGGGGGAGGGAGGGGGAGGGAGGGGGAGGGAGGGGGAGGGGAGGGGAGGGAGGGAGGGGGAGGGAGGGAGGGAGGGGGAGGGGGGGGGAGGGGGAGGGGGGAGGGAGGGGGAGGAGGGAGGAGGGGAGGGGAGGGAGGGGGGAGGGGGAGGGGGAGGGGGGAGAGGGAGGGAGGGGGAGGGGGAGGGGAGGAGGAGGGAGGGGAGGGAGGGAGGGAGGGGGAGGGGAGGGAGGAGGGAGGGGGAGGGAGGGAGGGAGGGGGAGGGGGAGGGGAGGGGAGGGGGAGGAGGGGGAGGGAGGGGGAGGGGGAGGGAGGGGGAGGGAGGAGGGAGGGAGGAGGAGGAGGGAGGAGGGAGGGGGAGGGGGAGGAGGGGGAGGGGGAGGGGGAGGGAGGGGAGGGGGAGGGGAGGGGGAGGGGGAGGGAGGGGGAGGGAGGAGGGAGGGGGAGGGGAGGGAGGAGGGAGGGGGAGGGAGGGGGAGGGGGAGGGGAGGGGGAGGGAGGAGGGAGGAGGGAGGGAGGGAGGGGGAGGGGGGGAGGGGGAGGGGGAGGGGGAGGGAGGAGGGAGGGGGAGGGAGGAGGGAGGGAGGGAGGGAGGGGGAGGGAGGAGGGAGGGGGGAGGGGGAGGGGGAGGGGAGGGGGAGGGGGAGGAGGAGGGAGGGGGAGGGAGGAGGGAGGGGGAGGGGGAGGGAGGGGGAGGGGGGAGAGGGGGAGGGGAGGGGGAGGGGGAGGGGGAGGGAGGAGGGAGGAGGGAGGGGGAGGGGAGGAGGAGGGAGGGAGGGGGAGGGGAGGAGGGAGGGGGAGGGGGAGGAGGGAGGAGGGGAGGAGGGAGGGGGGGGGGGAGGGGGAGGGAGGGGGAGGGGGAGGGAGGGGGGGGAGGGGAGGGGGAGGAGGAGGGGAGGGGGAGGAGGGAGGGGGAGGGAGGGGGAGGGGGAGGGAGGGAGGAGGGAGGGGGAGGGAGGGGGAGGGGGAGGGAGGAGGGAGGGGGAGGGGAGGGGGAGGGGAGGAGGAGGGGAGGAGGGAGGGGGAGGGAGGGGGAGGGAGGGGGAGGATAGGCACCACGGTTGCAGGGTGCCACTGCATCGGCATCGAGATTTGCTAAGCTCATTTGGGGCAATGAACTAGCCCTGGGTTTAAGTCTACCTCGGGGCATCAACAAAAACAACTATTCCACGCCACTATGTTTTAGTCGGAAAAACATGGCTGCCTGGCAATAACAATACACTTTCCGGGGAGGACATAGAGAAACAGTACCGAGGAATACTTAAGAAACGCCAAGCCAATTCTGAAGCCTTCTGAAGCAGTACAAAGGAATACTAAACAACACTAATCCCATGCTAAACCGATTCTAGACAGTACTGAGCCAGCTCAAAGGAATACTCAAACAATTCTTAGCCAGTACTAAGCAGTACTTTCTGAGAGACTACTTGAGTAGGTCCAACTCTGACCCCCAATTTGTTTTAGGTGTTCCCCTCCCCTCCCCCCAATTTGTTTGAGCTAGCCAACATTCATGTCAAACTCCGCAACCAAACTACTTACCCTGAAACTGCAGGTTTCAACGGCGCTTCTTCACGAATGAACCATATTTTCGCGAGCAAGTCACTAGGGTCCAACGAGCTCCGACAGTGTGGGTTTGTCTCAACATGTGGGACCTCTCAAACGGTTTGTGTCCTTTTGGTTTCCCGTTGAACCCAACTTGTGGAGGGTTCCCCTAGAGAAAGACTCGCAAAACCTCCGGATCCGCCTGCCTTCTGAGCTGCCGCGTCTCGCTCACGCCTGGTCGTTTCGCAATGAAGGCGACGACACACACGAAAGCAACTGCTTGAACCTTCTGTGACTAAATGATAAGAAGGTTCCCCTGAAACAGAAGGCGCTGTCTGGAAACGCCCGTCGAAGTCAATTTATAAAAAAATGAGCTGCCGGGACAAATGCAGAGAAGAAGATTCTCAGGTCTCTGCACTCCTTGAGGCCATGAGACACTTATTCAATGGATGCTAAAATGATACTTGGCCCTCGCACAGTGCTAAATGGGGCGAGATCATGTGCCCTGATGGACCAATGGACCGATAGATCCGTCTGTTCAGGTATCAAGGACCGACACAATGATTCACGTTTGGGAGGGCGTCCTCAGGAGGCCGGAAACACTGAGGCCGAGATGAACAGCGTGGCAGAGTTGCTGCAGTTTACATGGATCTGGGTTAGTTTCGGTAGCCATGAGCCCACAATTGAGGCAGCAGCTTATTAGGGATACTTTTTTCGACACAAGCTTGCGTCGACACTTGAGTGGCCACTGGAACTGCGTTCCAGATAAGTGGAGTTCGCTATGGTCTTCCGCATTGTCCAGTATATACTCTCCTTTAATAACCCCTGCTGAGCACAACAAACTGCATGATCAAACATACGATGGCCGAGTGCCATGTTGTCGCTTGCTGCTGACATCATGCCACACCTATCCAGCATGTATCGCAGGACTTTGACTTCCAAAGCGGGTCCTTCTTCAGGAGCTCACTGCCATGCTGAGACCTATGAAAGTCGATCGATCATTGCCAAGGGACATCTGATGTCAGAACACAAGGCCCTGCTGTTCATGTCCTTGCTGCTTCGTCCAAAAGAGCAGTCCCAAGTCTAGGTAGTTGCTTCACACCGGCTCGACCCTTTGAAGCACTGTGGAAGAAGCCGTTTGCTGCATTGGCCGGGTGGGAGAGGCATGCAGGGCCCAATGAAAGACATGGTACTAGTACCCCGAAAAACATGCCTTGCAAAGGCATATCCTTAGAAACAATACTTTTTTGAAATGAAGTCGTTGGCTCCATGGAAGCGCTGCTGCCTTTAGGCACCCACCCACCCACCCACCCACCCACGCGGGTCGAAACCACTGAGCCACGACAGCGGAAGCCCAGTTGCAGTTCTGCGCCACCCTGCCTAGAGAAGGCTTCCTCCGTTTGGAGCGCAAGACCTCGTACCTGAGCAAAGGGATGTGGTCTCAGAGAAGTTCTCTGGACAGCTTAGTCTGAAGCTGACAAACGATGTCCCACGAATGTGACCTTGGGAATGCGGTAACATTTGGATGCATGCATGTACTGCATGTAGGTATGTGGGTACGTACTCCATGTATGCATGTATGCATGTAGGTATATGGAAAGGTAGTATGTATGTGTATGCAGGGGCTGGCCTGTCTGTCTCTGCCCGGTTGTCTGTTTGTCTGTTTGTCTGTTTGCCTGTCTGCCTGCCTGTCTGCCTGCCTGTCTGTTTGTATGTTTGTATGTTTGTCTGTTTGTCGTTCTGTCTGCCTGCCTGCCAGTCTGCCTGTCAGCCTCTGTCAGCCTCTGTCAGCCTCTGTCTGCCTCTGTCTGCCTCTGTCTGCCTGTCTGCCTGTCTGTCTGTCTGTCTGCATATGTACGTACGTACGTACGTACGTATGTATGTATATATTAGCTGGGTTCTAAACCTCGTAAACGGGTTTTTAAAAGGCCCAATTAGACGCCAATACGAGTAGTGGTTTGACGATGGACGTACGAGTGGACGAGTAGGCGTACGAGTAAACGTATGAGTGGACGTACGAG